GGCGCGCGCACTTAACCACTAAGCCACGGGGCCGGCCCGTTCTTTCCATTTCTAACATTCTATCAGTCTAGGAATTTATAATAGTAGTTCTCAAGACTCTAGTGTACAAGAATTTCTTGCTTCCCCCAGACCCTATAATCCTTGGGCCATACCCTGAGAAACAATTCTCTCTGTATTACTAGATTAATGGTGCTGCTCTACATGCAGCCAACAAGAAAAAAGCCTAAGAATCATCTCTGATCTCCTCTCTTCTATATCTAGTTGGCTACCAAATCTAGTTAATTCTCACTTAGAAGTATGTCTTAAATCTGCCTCCATATCCTGTCTGTTACTGTATTAATTCAGACCACCTCACATCATCTGGATTACAGTACTAGTCTCCTATTAACTGGTCTCTTTGCCTGAAGTGTCTTATACTTGAATCCATACTTAATGTAGGTGCACAGCAGTGGTTCTCAACCAGGGGTGATTTTGCCTCCCAAAGGTTATCTGGCAATGTCTAGAGACATTTTTGTTGTCACACCTGGGGTGGGGTGGGGTGGAGGGAAGAAGTGTGACTAGTATCCTGTGGGGAGAGGCTAGGGATGCTGTCAAACACCATATAACAGACAGGACAGCCCCGCTAAAAGCAAAGAATTCTCATGCTCAAAATGTCAACAGTGTCCAGGCTGGGAGACCCTGCTGCTCAGTGATCTTCCAAAACCAAAACTGATCATACCTATCTGCTTAAAACTCAGTTGGTTCTACCGACAAAATAAAAGCCAAATTCCTTAGACTTTAGTACAGCAGTTTCTGAAAAATACATGTATTTTTAATCCAAACTAGCTAAAAAATCAGGCTTTTAACTAAATGAATTTCAATGTAGTAGTTTCTTTTCTTTTTTAAAAAGTAAATTCTCAGCACTAATTCTGATCCAAACCAGCCCCAAACCATGGTCTTTACCAAAACAGGCATCACGACAGAAGTTTTCTAAAAATCAGTTCCAGCACTAATTTTGTTGACAGTTCGCAATCTGCCCTGAGCGTCCCTTTCCAGCTTTATCTTTCAGCGCTCCTTTCTGTACACTCGAGGCTGGCCCCTGGTGAGTGTGTCTTTATTAACGCTATTTCCCATGCTCGGAATGCCCTTCCCCTATTTCTCATCTGATGCACACATTCATTTAACAAATATCAGGAACTACACGGGAACTGGAGAAAATAGTGATGAACTGGACAGTCTCAGTCGTCCTAGAGCTGACAAACTAATAAAGAAGGAAGAAACTGAATAAGTACACCAAGTAATAAAAAGACAAAACAGAGGGTGAAACCAAAGCACAACAGGAGACTTCAATTAGTTGAGTGGGGATCAGAGGCAAACTTCTCCAAGGAAGTACTGTTTCAACTCTAAACTAAAGGAGGGGAACTGGGCCGGCCCTGTGCCTTAGCGGTTAAGTGCGCGCGCTCCGCTGCTGGTGGCCCGGGTTCGGATCCCGGGCGCACACCGACGCACCGCTTCTCCGGCCATGCTGAGGCCGCGTCCCACATACAGCAACTAGAAGGATGTGCAACTACGACATACAACTATCTACTGGGACTTTGGGGGAAAAATAAATAAATAAAAATTTAAAAATAAATAAATAAATAAAGGAGGGGAAAGGGAAAGAAAAAACACTTTAGGGTCTTTAATAATTTAAAACTCAGCTCACGTGTCATTTCTTTGGGAAGTTTCTCCCAAACTGCCCCAAAGAATTAGTGCTTTCATGGTCCCACAACATAATACAGATGAGGAAATTAAGGCACAGAGAAATTAAGTGTCTTACCCAAGGTGGTACTGGCCGATTGGAGCTATAAAACCAAAAAGCCTGACTCCAGAGTCTGTGCTCCTAACCACTCTGCCCATCTGCAGAGCATGGTGCATACTGTAGCACTTCTGTTAATCTTTGGGTCTTTTTCATTAGACTCACAGCTTATTTTTTTTTTTTTCTCGGTGAGGAAGATTTGCCCTGACCTAACATCTGTGCCAATCTTCCCTTATTTTGTATGTGGGATTCCTCCACAGCATGGCTGATAAGTGCAGTAGGTCCGCACCCAGGATCTCAACCCACAAACCCTGGGCCACTGAAGCAGAGCACGTGGAGCTTTAAGCACTCGACCACAGGGCCGGCCCCTGGACTCACAGCTACTTGATTTGTAGTATCAGTCAAATATGCCACTATACGATTTTAATTTAGATTTTAAATGAATTAAACATGAATATGTTCCTGATTTTATAAATATGGGAAAATAGGTCCATGCCTAACAGAATACACAGCCTAGTGATGAGAAGTAATAAAAGAATTTAAAGCCTCACGAACAAATTCCTTTAACTCCTATCTCATTGTTTAGTCAGTCTACATCAACAGACTGCAGCATTCCAATAGGCTGTCTGCACTACTGGGAGTCTAAGGTCCTTCTCTGCACTGAGAGAAGTTTCATCATCTAATCCTAAGCACCTGCCAAGCTACTTGGATTGCAGAAAAGCCAATAATTATATTGGAAACTGTACTTCCCAGGAGAGGCAACTGCCAAATGGACAACTGAGAGTACTTGGGTGTACTCTCTTCCAAAGAATACTTATAACCACTTCAAAAGTAAATCCAATCCCTTTCCTAGTGGTCTTATATTTTTCATTAAAAAATACTGATTATAAATCTTACATTTCTCTTGATTTGTATGAAGTCTAAGAAGACAATGGATTAGCTAGATCTAAGAATAAAGGTGTTAGGAACCAGGGCTCCTAGGACAAACGGCTGATTCCAGTTCTGGGTAGAAAATTTACAAGATGAGCCTGAAAAATCTGGTATAACAGCAAGGAAGATAAAGTTTTCTCAACAGACTCAACAGTCAACTTAAGAGGTTCTCACTGTCCAAAGATGGAACAATTTGAATACTGATAAAGATAACTGTAACGGACTGGAACTGATCACCATTGGAGGATGTTAGTTAGCCAACTCATTATTTTGCAAACTGTTAAATAAAGAGAATCAAGCCTTTATCTTTCTTTTCCTTTATGATCTATACCACTGGGTAATAGTAGATGAGGGGGAATTTAGCTTTATAGAAATAATCCAGCTTATAAATAAAAATGGAAAGATGAATTAGAATATTACCATCTTGCAACCTTTAATGAATTAATGGATCTAGGCCTTGAACATCTTAGTGGCTAACCTCATAAAAGAGTCAAGCAGACATTGTATGCATCCAGATGGAAGAACACACCACTGTCTATAAATCTGAATCCAATTAAGCTTGTAGATACAACTACAAATTTCCAGGAAATGCAGAGGACTTTAACATGTTAATTACACCACAGGTATACAATTAGCAAAAAACAGACTTGAAAACTACAGATCAAAACCCTGGTTTCTGTAACAAATACATTGTAAATGGGAAAAAAAAGATGGACTGGAAATTTTAAATTTAAAAAGATGTAAAGGATATATTAGCCAATTGCAATGTGTAGACCTTATGCAGACACTGATTCAAACAAATAAATTGTTAAAAATAAAAATAACGGCACAAATGAGTGAACTGAAATTTAAACAGTGACTGGATATTTAATGATAAGAAAAAACTTAATTTTTTAAAATACAAGAATATTACTGTGGTTATGAATTTTTAAAGTCTGTATCTTCTATAGATACGTAGTAAATTATTTATGAATAAAATGATGATACATGGGATTTGTTTCAAAATAATTCAGAAGAGTGGAAATGTGTAAAGGTGCAGATTCAGCAAGACTGACCATAAGCTGAGTAACAGATACATGGAGGTTCGTTACACTAGCCTAACTACCTCCCAGTTTTATAATAAAGTATTTTTCGAAAAGGAGAAGTTAAGGCAATTTGGCACTATTCATGAAAATGTTAAATGCCCATATTCTTTGATTTAGAAAGTTCATTTCTAGAAATTTATCCAACAAATGTGCTCACACATATGTGCAAAGACATATGTACAAAAATATTCATCAGAATAGTATTTGTAACAACAGCACATCTGATAAAACCTAATTTTACTCTATCAACACCAACAACCTTCAGCTCTTAAGTTTTCTTAGACAATATATATTTTTTGTTTGCTTAATCTCTATCTTTCCTGAATAATTTTTACTAGGTCTAATCCAAGGTGATAAGAAAGTACAATTTCCTTCCCAGGTGGAATTGTATTAAGAGTCAGATTTGGGACACATATGAGTTTACTTTCACACTAGCATAATAAAATCATCTACAGACTCTCTACTGAGAAAAATGCACATATTACTATCTCCCTGACACATTTACACATATAATTTCACAAACTATGTCAGGGGTTTACAAGATGCCTGGGAACTTGAGGCCCAGCCAAGGTTAGGCACCACTCAGTTTTAAGCTAATGAAAGTCCCTTTAGTGACCTAAAATATATGTCTTTATCATAGATAGGAGATATATCAGGAAAAAAAGATATATATAATCCACAATATTATAATTTTCCTATTTCATGTGACATAGAAAGAATAAAACAATGTGCAGTTTTGTTGTTCCACCCAATACAAAATCTTTCCTAGAGACCTAATGATATGCACTATGCATAAGGATTACTTGCAGCCAACTTAATAAACGCAAAACAAACAGAAAGAGGTACTTAATATAAGCCTAATGTGGAATCTTTTCAGCCCATCTGATAAAAGTGCTGATAACAGTGAATAACCTGCTAGTTCTATTAAATTCATTCACATTAGGTCTATGTTTAAATTTAACACAAAATCTGCAGTTTCTACTAGGAAAAGTGTGAAGTCTGTTCTTTGGATTCTTCTGAGCACTGTTAAAAATAAAATGTTGAATTATATCATTATAATTTGAGGAAAAAAAATCTAAGTCTGTTTTTCATATTAGAGTTTCAAAAGAAAGAATTCTAGGGCTCTCAAGTTCGTTTTTTTTTTTTAAAGGATTTCACGCACCCGAAGAGGGCTTTGCTGACTTACGCAAGGAGGCGTTACGTAACACGGCAGCCCTAGCAGGCAACTGCAGGAACTCTCCTTCTTTTCTTCCCCACAGAAACCACTAGGGATTTCCCTCTGCTCCTGTTTCTGTCACTCGTCCTCTCCACTTATCACTGAAAACCCTGCAGCAATATGGGAGACAGACCAGCTACCTCAGCCTTTGCAGCGGTGGAGAGGGAGCTGCAGCAGTGGGAGAGGAGAGGACGTGGTGTGCTCAATCCATCACCACGGGAACCATACAGCCCTTTCTCCATATTCCTTCCCTTACCTCAGGAGAGGGAAAAGAAATAGTAAAGTAATGAAGGAAAATACCCCTGCCACTTCTTCCTTACCCCAAATGGCTTAACTACCATACATATATCATCCCTACCCTAAAATATTCTCATTATCATATGCAAGGAAAAAAAAATTGGGGGCAAAAAGGTTAAAAAGTAAACCATGACCTGTCCTCTACTTAACAGTTTCCATCCCTTCTTTATTTTACCTAAACCCCCACTACTTTTCCATCCCTCCCAGATGAGTCTGCAACACATTCCAGTTCTCAATTATCATCTGGCTTGCTGGCTCTATGGGAGCCATCTCAGACTTCATCTCAGCTCATGAATAAAGGAAGCAGGAGTCCCAAACTCACAAGCCTTGGACCTAAGAATATAGCATAAATAAGTAAGCAACTAGGTGCAACACAAAAGAAATCAACGAAGGGGCCAGCCCGGTGGCGTAGCGGTTAAGTTCACGCATTCCGCTCCGGTGGCCCAGAGTTTGCCAGTTCAGATCCTGGGACCGGACCTACTCACCACTCATTAAGCCACGTGGAGGCGGCATCCCATATAGAAGAGCTATAACTCTACAACTATGATACACAACTATGTGCTGGGGCTTTGGAGAGAAAAAAGAAAAAAGAGGAAGACTGGCAACAGATGTTAGTGTGGGGCCAATCTTCCTCAAAAACAAACAAACAGAAAAAGAAATCAATGAAATGGAAAGCACATCCCTGTCTAAGCGGGCCTCTCAGTTAACTCCTTTACAGTAGGAGTTGAAAATCCAGATTTTATGTGTAACCTCTTCATTTTTAGTCAACTACTTTGAAAATGTTTGTAAACCTTCTATAGAGCAAATAAAATGTCCCTCAGTTGGATGACCTGAGTAAGGCCCAAAAAACCCATCTGAAAACTTTAATCTAGAATCCCTGGAGACTTAAGAGAGGTCACAGCTTCCTTTACCACTGTTCTATGCCTCCTCTCCTGAACCCCCAACTCTCAATCCCAGGCCAAGACAGCTACCACAGTAGAAGACTCCCAACTTCTGCTGGGAGGCAGGAAAAGAGGAAGTTCCTGTTTTACTGCCAACTTTACTTGGGTTAGGTTAAAGTTGTACTTCTGACATTCCAAAAGATGGAGCTCTAAGTGCCTCTTCTCTCAGAAGCAGGAAAACTGCCTTTAGATTCCAAAATAAATACATGTATAAATAAACTTCTGGAAGACTACCATTTGAAAAATGAAGGTTTTCTAAATTTTAAAATCACTGTTGAATTTTAAGACTTGCTCCATAGTCATAGGGTACTGGATAGCATAAATACATTGAAAGGAAATTTCAATTTCAAACAAATTGAAAGGCACATTAAAGAATATATTCAAAATTAAGTTTTACAGATCAGTCCATATAATATGCTGGTATACTACCAGCTGGTTTTCCCTCATGACACAAAAGGGTCCTATACCGGTAACAACCAAAGCTAAAATTTTAATGCTTTTCTAATTCCCCACCGGAGCCCTACATCTCCTCCCCAGTCTTCCCATATGACACCATGAGAACTATAAGACTGTAGAGAGAGATTCCAAAAAAAGTACGAATGCATGCTTTAAAGCAATGTGAAACAAACACACTGTTGGGCACAAAAAGGTGTTAAGATTTGTTTTACATAGGTTAGTGTGCCACATCACTAAGAAAAACCAAACAAACGTATTCAGATACTTTTCTGGAACAGGTATTTATTTGACTGTTGGAATTCAGATAAAAATTTTCTTTTAAGGCACGGAAGGTGAGCAGAAGCATCACTCTCAAACTATATCAAGAGGTGTGAAACACTCTAAGCTTTGTAATGTTAAAAAATGTAGAAAAATTTTAACGCCTGGTAAAATTTTAATAAGTGTAATAATAATAAAGCAAAATTACACCATAACCAAAACCAACAGAATACAAAACTGGCAAGGGCCAAGAAATGTCAAAATTCACTTATCAAAGTAAGTGCTAAAGTCTCTAGCTTATTTTCCTCTGAAATATGTTTTGAGTGAATCTATTATAATAAAAGTATAGAGCACACAAAGAGATATAAGTAACCAACAGTCTGAGGTCTCAAGTCTGGGGTCTCAGTACCAAAAGATTTTGAGGTATTGCTTTTGTTTGAAGTCTCCTATTAATCACAGTTGATCCCTAAGCTCTTCAAATCAATAAACAGTTACTCTTTTGTTTATATCATAAAAACACGGTTTATATAAGCAAAATCCATCAGTTGGAATTTTAAAGCCTGACTAATGACTTTTGGAAAAACTATTGTTTAAAATGATTTTGCTTATGTATCTTGTTTTTCACTCCCTGTTCCTCCAAAACTTGAAGACTGGATCTTTGCTCATCAGCATCGAATGTTTACTCTTTATTTGGATTATAATCTTCTCTTTGTAAGCAATAAAAGAACAAAGTAAGCAGAAGACAATGCAAAATAGTAGAAGAGGTAACAAACACATCTGAACTGAATTAACTTTCATAAACTTAAGCCCAATTAGTATGAAATAATTTAAAATATAGAACATGTTAGTTTTCTAGGTATAGCATCAAGTCTTCATGACTGACCAGGAAGGATCAATTTTAAAACTTTCAGGGAGAGGAGAGGAGAAATAAGTGGTTGATTTTTGTATTTTATAAAAGTATAAAGGCACAGTTTTTTGTGTTTTTTTTTGAGGAAGATTCACCCCAAGCTAACATCCGCTGCCAATCTTCCTCTTTTTGCTTGAGGAAGGGTCGCCCTGAGCTAACATCTGTTGCCAATCTTCCTCTCTTTGCTTGAGGAAGATTCGCCCTAATATAACACCTCTGGCAGTCTTCCTGTATTTTGTATGTGGGTTGCCGCCACAGCATGGCTGACGAGTGGTATAAGTCTACACCCAGGATCTGAATCCATGAACCTGGGCCACCGAAGCGGAGTGCGCTGAACTTAACCACTACGCCACGGGGCTGGCCAGAGTATAAAGGCACAGATTTGATGGTTTCTACTAAAGTTGGCCTTTTTCATATTATAATATTCTTAGAAAAAGCACTGCAAGGAAAGAGCAAAATGTTAATATAATGGGTATCTTTAAACGGGATAATGAGATTTTTTTTCTTCCTTCCTTTCTACTTTTCTATTTCCAAGTTTTATATATTAGAACTACATTACTTTTGAAATACTAAAAAGTCTAGTTTAAAAAAGTCTTTATGTTAAATAATATAAAGTCAATGTGTTGCAAGAAAAGCAATTCCTCAGAACTATATTTTTAATGTATTCTTTTTAAGTTGATGAACTTTATAAAATTTATAGATCTGTTCTTGAGCAAAATAATAATTTTACCTGTTCCTTTCCGTGCAAGTTCCATACTCCACTGGGGTTTTGTGGCAGGTGTGCCATCACAGCCTGATGAGTGCTGGGGTATTAAAGCAGATCGGGAGTTAGCTGGCCGATATTTAGAGAGCCCTAAAATGCCAAAAAAAGAGGAAAAAGAGGGATTTAGTTCTTTGTTTCTCCCAAAAAAGAAAAAAGCCTGACAGGTTTTTATAAGTTAACCTTAAAACCAGAAGCAGTTTAATAGTAAAATTCTAATAATGAAAAGAATACTAAAAACTACTGAAGATTTCATTTGATTTAATCCTTTATCATGGTTCCTATATGCTTAAGCCTGAGAACAATACACATTCAAGAAAGACAGTGAGTTTGGCCTGCTGAACATATAAATTGGATTGTACACTCTGGGGCAGAAACCATTTCATACTTTTAATAATTTATGTGGAACTCTGCATATAGTAAAGTCTGCTGGCTCTCTCCAAAATCTGCTATTAAGTTCTATTATAATGTTTACTCAACAAATAGATCAAAATAATTTAGATATTTAAAACAGGAAATGTTTTAATTGTATAATGTGAACAGCATTGTAGTAGGTATCAGGAGATCCAGGTTCTGATTCCAGATTATCAACAAATTAGATATATAATCCGGGCAAGACATTTATCTCTTTGTGTCTCAATTCCTTCATTTGTCATATGGAAAAGTCCTAAGATTTGGGTCTAGCCCTGAGTTGGCTCTTACTTGGGTGTGTCATCTAGAGAGAGTCATTTAATAAAAACAAATAACTTCTGCTTAAGTTTACTTATCGGTAAAATGGATAGAATAAATAATTGTTAAGGTCTCTTCCAACTATAAAAGCCAAAGAATTCATGACTTATCAGCCTTCAAGTATATCTTAGGTTCATACTGTATTTGAAGCTGGTTCTCAAATTCTACTAGCTCATCCTAGATTACTAACCAGTGAAAAATAATTTAGGTCTCATAACCAACATAAACAAAAAGCCAAAGCAACAGCAAGGAGACTAAGGTGGGGAAGGAGGACTTGGCACAAATGTAACATATTAAAAAAAAAAGAAAAACCTCATTCAAATGTAAAGATCATAGACATAGATAACCAGCATGGGGTATGAATAGAATTTTGAAATAAAAAGAAACAAAAACAGTACCCAGAAAAAAAAATTTATATTCATAATAAAAGAAATGCATTATAAAGTAAATGTGAATTATCATTTTGTAGTTAATTAAGTATCTTTTATTACATTGATGACCATAAAACAATACCATGACATACAAAAAATGATGATTAAAAAAATGATGATAAATGATAAATGAAAATTAATGAATCACACCATATGTTTCAATATGGATGATATTTTAGAAGTAGACTGTTGAGTGAAAAAAGCAAGTCATAGTGAGTATCATGTCATTTTCATAAAATTCAAAAACCAAGTACAAGTAAACATGTAGATCATGTATCTATGTGGTACACTATAAAGAAAAGCAAGAGAATGATTAAGGAAAAGAAAATTCAAGACAGTATTTACTTGTAGTGCAAAGGCAGGTGAACAGAATCAGGAGAGAAGCACAGAGGGAATGGCTGTGGCCTGGAGTGTAATATATAAGTTAAGGTGGGTGGCAGGTTCACAGATATTTGTTTTAATACTATATTTCACAATTTACATGCAAGTTACACCAAAGCTTTATTCCTGAAAATTTAAAAATGCTGAAAACATAAGCTAGGTGTAATCTTTTCAAAAAGCATTATAGCAGTATGCACCAAGAGCTATGAAAATCTTCTGAAGATAAGTATCTCATAATATAGTTAAAATTAATCTTTTCACCAACAACATATTTTTGAAAATTTATCTTAAGAACATAATTTGACAAAAAAGAAACAAAAGCTTTTGTAGGAAGATATTCAGTGCAGAATTTCCTGTAACAAATAAAAATCAGGAACAACTTAAATGCCTACCAACAGGGAAATAGGGTAAATTATAGTATATCAACTCAACACTGTCTCAGGCAATATTTTCAAAAGAAAAGATTATGATGTTTGAGACATGCATGCAAAAAATCTGTGATATAACATTACATGGAATAGGCAGGCAAAAAGAGAAAGTAGTTGTGTTATGGGCAGCATTAACTTTATAGTCAAAAAATTTTTTAAATAATTATGTTTACATTATTTAAAAGAAACCAGATCTAGTATTTTATTTTGAGGTTAAGCCTACTACAAAAGAAAGAAAGGAAACAAAAGAAAGAGATTAAAGATTTTATTTATTTATTTATTTTCCCCCCAAAGCCCCAGTAGATAGTTGTATGTCATAGCTGCACATCCTTCTAGTTGCTGTATGTGGGACGCGGCCTCAGCACAGCCGGAGAAGCGGTGCGTCGGTGAGCGCCCGGGATCCGAACCCAGGCTGCCAGCAGCGGAGCGCGCGCACTCAACCGCTAAGCCATGGGGCCGGCCCAAAAGAAAGAGATTAAAGCCATTGGAAGAAATCTGATGAATGGAATTTTTAAAAAACAAATCCAGAAATAAGCCAAATATTTAAAAAGGACCCAAATAAAATAGAAACACTTTTCTTCTTTTTATTTATTCCTTTGTTGATGTGTGTTATAATCTGATATAATCTAATATTTTATACTGGCTACTTTTAAACTTCATAGTTGTTCACTTGAAATTAACACCTTAGAATAGTGATATCATGTGAACTTTCTCCATCACCCCAGTGACTGCAGTACACTAATCTTACCTGGAGTGGAAGGCCTTTCAAGCATGTTCAAATGATGGGAAATGAATGCCTGGCTATCGTGAACAGTATCCATATCAATCTCCTCCTCATCTTGAGAATTTGAAAACTACAACATACACACACACACACACAAAACAAAGCAGAAAAAGAGCCATTACATCACTTTACGTTTGAATCTTAGCTCTCAGGAAAGGTAGCAGAGAGGCCACAGGATACCCCCAAAAATCTTAAAAAGGAAAAGCAGTCTCTTTTTCTCAAAAAGTATTAAGAGAAAGAAAAGATTATGTGGTGCAGCCTCCAAAAGAAACTGACTGGAAATTATCAGAAATGTAATAACAACTAAAATCTATCCCTATGTTGTGGGAAGAAGTAGTGAGCTGTTGTAGATCGTGCACACATAGTTCCTCCCCCAAACAGAGAAGAAGTATGTGATAACAGAAGTTAAACAATCAGTTGGAATGTCTTAGAGGGACATTTGGGTTCTTTTATAATTCAGTCTGTCCCATCTGTTCCTGCTAAGGAAAAACCACTGCAAGTATTCAAAAAGATTTACAAGAAGGTGAATACCCTACACTGTTAATACAGGTTTAACCTGTATTTCTTACTCTGATTTTGAGTTTCACTTTACTGCTATCCTCATTCTTCTCCAGTATTTGACCAGGTTCTAGTGGGGACCCCAGTGGTGTATCAGCCTTCCTCTTCACTCCCTGCTGATGAGCTGATATATTACATGATGCTTCCTTGGCAAGGTGATCATCTTCCTGCAGCAATATTCAAGATCAAAATTAGATTTCTGAAGACAAGTAGCTCATATTATAGCTGAAAACTAATAGCTATAGCAACCATGCAGATTAGAGCATGCCCAGTGCCTAAAAGTTATCAGCAATGGGCTTAAAATAAATTTCACCTTTTCCTGTCTGCAGGTCTTTTTTTCGACAGAAGAGAGGTATTTAAGTGAACTTTTAGAGCTTTCCCAAAAGAATATACATTTTGGTGTCCTTTTCTCTCCTTATCCTGAAAACTTCAAGTACGAATGTGGACATATAAACATATGTGGGCAAGAATTACAAACGTATTCATTTCCACACGTTTATAAATATTCAGATCTGAAAGAGCTCTTTAACGAGACTCTTCTTTTCCTATGGAAGGATTTGTCTTACTTCTTCATAACCCTAACTCTAGGATCCATTTTAAATTTATAACAAATAAGTACAATTATATTTCACAAAATCTAGGTGAATAAGTAATTTAAAATGGCTATTACTAACATAGAGAGAATTTGAGTTTTAAAGTGTCAAAACACCATTAGGGAATTGCCAGGCAAGTAATCTGGTCTAAATATTGGTGAAAAATGAAGTTTAAGTATCAGACATTTTGCCATCAACAAGAAAATCACTTCGGGAAAACTTTCTTTAAATTACAGTAAAATGATTGATATGTATCCTAAAGGTCTTTCTACAAAAAGTCTAGTAATTTTACAATGCATAGCTAGAAACAAAAGCTTTTCTAAAGGCAAACACATACACATATATAAATATATAAATGTAATGCATAATCTCCTCCCAAATTAGCAGATTACTCATTTACCTGACCATTCATTGCTATTTGTTTGTTTATTTATTTATTTTTCAACAAGCATTTGCCAGGCACTTATCATATGTTTAGAACTGTGCTAGGTATTATATAGAGTAGTAAAAAAAAAAGTCAGGGCCCCTGTGTTCAAACAGCTTGCCATTACCATATATGGACAAGATAGGTTAATATGTAATAGGTTAAATATTCATTTCAATTTTCTACTAGTCAAAAAAGAAATTCTACAGTCAAGTACAAAAAATCATTATGTCATCACAAAGGGAGTAAATGGACCAGCAGCACATCATTAGTTATATGCAGCTATGCAGTTACCTTTACAAAATACAACTTTACAAATTGCGATGTGCTAAGCTAATGTCAGCCAGATACTTTTTTTAAACTGTACAAGAAACTGTTAGTGGCTTTAAAATTCACCAGTTCAAAAGAAGCAATTCTCTCCTCTAGACAGTGCTACATAATAAAACTACAACTTCTGTAATACATGTGATTCTTACAGGGTTCTGAAATCCAACAAGCTGAGCGTGACTACTTGGATTAGTCGCAGCTTCTTGGTTGCCTGCTATGGCCTCTGGAATTATGGTTGGATTTAAGACAGCTTTTTTCTCTTTCAGATTGAGAACCAACCCAAGCTCTGGCAAGGGTAAGCAGGAAGGTCTACTGAGGCCAAAAAGTGTGAAGTACAAGTCCACAGCACCACACCGTAACCTCCAGTCATGTGAGGTACCTAAGAAAAAATAATAAAGAAATGAAAGTTAATATGCACGTTTATCCACACATTTTTAACTGCTTCAGAACCTGCACAGAAGGAAGAGATGAACGGATTATGATGCCTGAAAGGAGCCACCTACTGACCTAGGCCCCACTGGCAAACCCTCTGCTCTAAAGACCCATCTTATCTTAAGACAGATACTTACAATGTTACAGAAACAATAAACGTTAGTGAATGAACTAATTAATTTATAATTGGAAAAAATTTTATCATGTCATTCTTACAAAATGAATATTAGATATCCATTAAAAATCTAATATTCTAAAAACAGTATTTTTTCTGGCTTTAAATCTTCCCTTTAATTCCTCCTCCTTGGTAACTACTCCACCTTTATTCCTTCTCTATTCATCTTGTCTGATTTTCTTCTTTAATAGCCTGTTAGGAAGACAGACTCCATGAGCCTTCATGAACCCTATCACTTGAAACAAATTCTCCTAACTCAGATTTATTACTTTCAGATTTTAAATATAGTAAGAAATTCTACAACTCCTTGAGAAAACACAATTCTAAATTTGGACTTATTGCAGAGGAAGAAAATATTTTGCTAAATGCCTTTTTATTTGTGTTGTTCCTACTAGGTATTTGTTTAAAAAAAAACAAACACAAATAAGCAAACCCCAGAGATGGCAACAGGTAGTAAAACATGTATTAACCAGAAGACTACCTGTGTATAAATTCAGTTTAAAGCAGTTGAGAGACTAGAGGCAAGTTCTTTCAATTTTTCTGATAAGTCTCAGTTTCTTCATCTCCAAAATAAGGGTTTTGGTCTCAGATTATACTTTACCCCACAGCAGTGACAGACCAGAGCACACTAATACCCGAGTTCTTTCTCCTTTTCCTTTCTTTCCCCAGTAGAGCACTCCAGATATATACTGCCATCAAACAGAACTGACTGGCAAGATGAAATTTGTCATCTAGGATTAGATAATTTTTATGTTTCTAGGCAGAATTTAAAATGTTCTAGAGAATTTAAAACAAATGAGAGAAGAAATATGTAAATTCTTCTAGATAAGAAAAATAAACCCTATAAATATTTAATTTTGACCAAGAACTATGGTTTCAAAAGAGTATCATAATGTTTAAAAAGGAAAGAAGTTGCTACAGTAAATTCTGGACAGCATAAATATTAAGCTTTGCGATTTTCAACAACAAATATAAGAATAAGAAAACAAATTGTAATTAAGTAGTGATTCTGATGAGACTTACTCTAACAGATAAGTAAATATATAAATTATATGCAAAGGAAATCCATAAGGCAGGAATTATAATTTTACAGAGTTCATACTATACACTACACTGTGCTAGGCACTTTGCATGCTACAATGCCATGAAACAGCTATCATCAATCCTATTTGAGACATCTTTAATTTTGCTACTGTGGGATAAGGTAACAGATACATAACACTGTTAGAAGCAAGAGAAAGAGGCAGGAGCTCCCAAGGAGGATGAGGTTTTTACATCACGAAAACTAAAGAAAAACTAGAAAGGGAAGAACTGTACAGAGTGAAAGTAAGGATTTGACACTGGAAATCCACTTCCTTCTCTGGAATATGCACATCTGACACTTTAGTGGCCTGACGTTGCTTAAGTTTTGGCAGGCATTCACTATACTCCTCCTAAAAGTATTTTACACATGTAACATTTCCATAAAGGACGGGTATCAGATTCCTGGGCCTTTTATTACAAAGGCTGGAGGGGCTCAACCCTCTGAGGGAAGGGAAGGAATCCTGCCAGAGCAGCTAGCCCTGTATCTATCTATTCAGGGGTGTAGCAAAAGGAGTGAATTTTAGGCATTTTATCAGTAAGGAAAACTAGAATGGTTTAGGGCACATTTACAATGGAAGAACACTAAAAAAACCTTGAAGATCAATATTGCCTAAGTAGGTATAGTGCAAATAACCATCCTGAACCTTATATGTTGTAGACGACATCGAAACCAGTCGATTGAGTCTGAATTCCTCAAACTTTTACAAAAATTTTAATTTTAATAAAGCCAATGAAAAATATATATTTTGATGAGCTACAGTTTTCTGTTTTGTTTTTTGAAAGTCAGCTTAAGGGCGCTGGCCCAGTGGCACAGTGGTTAAGTTCGTGCACTCTGCTTCCGTGGCCCAGGGTTCGCAGGTTCGGATCCCAGCACGGACCTACGCATCGCTCATCAAGCTATGCTATGGTGGCGTCCCATATAAAGTAGAGGAAGATGGGCACAGATGTGAGCCCAAGGCCAATCTTCCTCAGCAAAAGAAGAGGAATATTGGCAACAGATGTTAGCTAAGGGCTAATCTTCCTCACAAAAAAAAAGAAAGTCAGCTTAAGGATGATTGGGCAACACAATGAAGGCTACTAAGTGCAGGGAACTCCTAGAAAATGGTTTTTGTTTCTTTTTATTTCTATGTGGGCTTGTTGGTTTTGGTTTTTTAAAGGTTTCAGTAGACCTTCAATTTGGATGGAGGAATGAACATTATTTTGTTCTGTAGGAAAGTACTTGATAGTGTTTTTTCCCTCACAAAATTGACTTATAAATATTAAAATTTAGGGCTGATAAGAGAGCTAAAAAATGAACAGCAGTGCTTCTGTTAAAATTACAAAAAAGAAAAAAAATCAGAACTCCATTATATTTCAAAATCATAGAATAAAATTTTAAAATGGTTGTCATATTATTATAGTGGAATTAAGTTGAGCAGTACAGTGGGAAAAAACACTTCTGCTTAATCACCAGTTAGCTCTGTGATCTTGGGCAAGTCAGCTGCCTGGGCCCCAAAATGGGGGCAATTAACTTGGAAAATCTTTAAGATCTCCTCAGGTCTAAAATTCTATGATTCCAAACCAATCAATTCCATTAGAATGAGGCCCTGACACAGCTACTGACTTCTGCCCTCAGTTACAGCTTTGAAGACCCTTCTTTAATCTTCTCGCTACCCCTCCATCCCCAATCACTTAAACGGCAAGGAATGCTCATGCATGAAAAAAATGAGTCGTTCTCTCCTCTGAGGGAAAAATGCTGTCCATTCTGTCCCCGTTAGCAGCGATACCTTGGGATCAACCCTGCTTACCTGAATCAGAGGAACACTCAAGAAAAAGTAGGAAACCTGGTATTGATGTTCTCTATTCAAATCAGAAAGAATCTAAAGACAAACCCAAAAGACAGCAAATCTGATCGTAAAAATGATCATCTCTTCATTTTCTAAAGTAATTGCTATTAAAACTGATCAAGCCAAAAAGCTGCTGAAGAAGAAAGCTCACTTTGAAAGCCCCTGTTTTCAGGACATTTTCCAATAAACCCAGCACTCCTTATTGACAACAGAAGCTTGGAAATTTTTTTTTTGTGTGTGAGGAAGATCAGCCCTGTGCTAACATCTGTTGCCAATCCTCCTTTTTTTTGCTGAGGAAGACTGGCCCTGGGTTAACATCCGTGCCCATCTTCCTCCACCTTATATGGGATGCCGCCACAGCACAGCTTGACAAGTGGTGCGTCGGTGCCCGCCCAGGATCCGAACCCCAGGCCGCCGCAGTAGAGCACACGCACTTAACCGCTACGCCACTTGGCTGGCCCCAGAAGCTTGGAAATTTGTACAGAGTTGGGCCAGACAAATACAATTGTCGAAGGGTAGTTCTGTCTTGATCTTTCTCTCCATCTTACACTAAGTAAAAACAGCTGATTTCATTTATATTTATGGGTGTCTATACATACATAATTCCCTACAAAGAATAATACGTTTTCATTTTCTTCTACCATTCCTATTTCTAAACGGGAGGCTTTGAGAGAGAAAGAAATAGAGGGCCAAAACTCTGAAATTTCCTGATGTTAATATCAAAATTGTTTATTTTCTTACTTTGAAACCTGGCAAATCCTACCAAACTGAGTTAGAAATTGTCCCTTAATCTACCCCCTAGAGAGTATCTGTAAACTTTCAAACACTAAAAATTATGATCTAAATAAACAGCTTTCAATGTCCTGAACAATTACATAAATGCTTTTATGTTATTTTTAAAGTAATGTCTCAAACATTGAAAGCAGCTTAGGAGTAACAGCTAAAATTTCCTTCACAATGATATACTATCTCTTCAATGAAGGCCTATGTTTTACGAAGTGAAAAAACATTGTTAAGCAGGCAAGACTAGTGAAAGTACTTACATTTAAAATAAAATATAAAGCACCAATAAAAATGTTCAATTCTTAGATTTTTATTTTTTAAATGTATTTTTTAAATTATTGTCATGTTGGTCTATAAATGTATAAAATCTTACCTAAAGCTATAAAAGGTAGGATCTCAAATGTTCTGAATTTTGAAACATTTTTCTTTAGAAAAGGAAAATCATTTCTTTCGGTGCGGTAAAAATACATACAGCTAATAGCAGTCAGCTAGGTCATAACTCCACGTAATTCTCATTGCCTACAGGATAAAACACAAACGCCTGAGGCCTTTAACTTTTGGATCCTAATCTATCTTTCCAGATAACACTATTTGCAAAACACACTTTCAGAACTTGAGGCTTTTATGTATAATTCTCTCAGCTAAAATACCTTTCTCTTATGGCAAACTCTTTTCCATTCCTCAAGAGCTACCTCAAATGTCACCACTCTATGAACATTCTGGCATTCCAGGCAGGGTTCATGGCTCTGTTTTTGAAGTTTCCAGGGTACTTTGTTCCTCTATTTTAGCAACTACCTATTTGTGTTATAATTTATCTGCTCTTATGTCTCTTTCCCATCATACTAAGTTAATACACAAGGCATCTTTGTATACACAAAACATAGTATAGTGGCAAACAGGAAGTGCTTAAGAAATTACTGGTGAATAAATTAATATCTGAAACCTTTAAAAAGAATTGCCCCTGAACAACGTGACATTTTTAACTAAAAATAAACCTACGTATTTAAGATTCTTAAGCAACTATGGACAAAGACCACATAATGTGAAAAATCTTTCTCTTTAAAAATGTTTACTTCTTCTGTGGTGGATTATTACTTTAAAAGCTATATGGTAGGGGGCTGGTCCCGTGGCTTGGTGGTTGGGTGTGCGCGCTCCGCTGCTGGCAGCCCGGGTTTGGATCCTGGGCGCGCACCAATGCACCGCTTGTGCGGCCATGCTGAGGCCGCATCCCACATACAGCAACTAGAAGGATGTGCAACGGTGACATACAACTATCTACTGGGGCTTTGGGGAAAAAAAAAAAAAAAAGGAGGAGGATTGGCAATAGATGTTAGCTCAGAGCCGGTCTTCCTCAGCAAAAAGAGGAGAATTGGCATGGATGTTAGCTCAGGGCTGATCTTCCTTGAAAAAAAAACAGAAAGCTATATGGTAAGTATAAGGACATTTTTGGGGACAACTGAGGAAACCTGAATATGGAATATATACTGGGGTGGGGTATGATAATTGTATTATGAATATGTAGGAGAATGCCCTTATTCATAGGAATATATACCATAAAGTATATATTTGGGAAGAGTATCATCATGCAACTTATTTTCATATGATTCAGGAAAAAAAGAGGGTGTGTAAATACAGACAAAGAAAGAGTGGGATAAGAGATCAGGTAAATACAGTAAACAACTAGTGAACCTAACTGAAAGCATATGGTTATTCACTATACTATTCTTTAAATTTTTCCAAGCTTTGAAAAATTTAAAAACAAAATGTTGAGGAGAAAAAGTTATATGAGAAAATTAAACTAAAGAATGGGTTAAGATATCTGTGTATGCCTATGTACATACATATATAGCCGTGTGTGTGTGTGTGTGTGTGTGTGTGTGTGTGTGTGTGTGTGTATTTTCAAAGCAAAAACTATTGGGAAGATAGTAGAATAGCGCCTAGAACTTAAGGCTAAGTGGAGCTACCACACACCAGGCCAAGGGCAGAGACCAGGCAGTCCCGGGATCTCCAAAGCCGAAGTCTGGGAACCTTCCTTCTGGTACATGGCCATTAAAATGACTCAGTTAACAAGAGCCCCCAGCTTCTGTACCTCTCAGCTCCAGACCCCCCTTTCTAAAAAGAGTATTATTAATAATCATTGAATGATAAATGAGTTTTTAAAAAAATGAATGTAATGTCTTAGTTCATTTGTCTCACTCTCAAACTAATCTCAACTAAATCTTTCTATGCATCCTACCATAATTATTTTCTTATTGAAAAGTTTTTGAAACCAGCTAAGCAAACAAACTTTGATTCTTCCAAAGCATCTGATGACCATCTCGTAAGATGATCCTTTCTTAATTGCCATGATATTCTCTCCAATATATTTTAAATGGGTTCAATGAATTGTATAACTATGCAAAGTCAATACATCTCAAATCTACTTGGGAATAAGGCAGAAATAAATAAGTGAATATAATTAAATCCCTATTGTACACAGTTTATTTGTTCTCCATATGTAAATCAAGATGATGGTTATCTTAAGCGACCAGATAACCCAGGAGCCTCAATAAGGAATGAGGGGCAGGCAGAGTTCATCAGGATTTAGGGACTTAGATGATGTTCTAGCTCCCTTTGTTACAAGTGAATTCTCATTATCATTTCTTAAAACAAAAACTATTAAGAAGATAGTATAGCAATGTGAAAAATTCTCATGATAAAATGCTCTTTTAAAACCTTCATTACAACTGTAAAACCACACACACATTTTTTTTTTCCCTAAAGGCTAAATATACTCCAATCTTAATAGTGGGAATGTAATGGAATTATGTAATATTTTCCTTTTTGTTATTTTGCTCAGATAAATGCAGTAACATGATTATTTTACTTTTATCATAAAAAAGAAGAAATTTTAAAAATTAAACAAAAAAAAAGATTTCTTAGATCAGATTCATTCATGTATCCCAGAGGTTCAGGCTTGGAAGGGAAATGAGCAATCTTCTAATCAATCTTCCCTGTCTAATGTTCAGTGTTCTCCAAAAACATTAAAAACAAAACAAAACAAAAAAAATCCTTCCAATTATTCATGCCACTCCCACTGTTCATATTGCTCCTATTTATTTACACCTCTGAAGAGCTGACCAATAAATTGTTTATGACTATGGCCCCACTGATGTACTCTGTTTAGATTACTGGCACAGAGAACTCCAAACCAAAGCGGCAACTGTACTTTATACTGAACACTATCAAAATTAAATACTACACGTCAACCAGAGCTTGAATTTGTATAACTACAACCTTTCAATGGGCTTCAAATGTTTTATAGAAATTGTCCCATTAATCTTAAATATACACTTATTTCGTCCAAGAAATCTTCCCAAGAAGGTGATAAGAGAATTCTTGTATTTCATTATGCTTTCCTCCAAGTTGTAACCCATCACAGTCATGGAATCATGAATTCTTGTTAAGAATATATTCAACACAATACAGTTTGTGCCACATATTAACTGCTGAATGATCCTTTACAAGTTCCTGAACTTGTGTGCTCATTCCCTGGATCTAAATGATAGTAATCATAACATAGTTTAAGGCAAGCACAAGTAGCAAAATATAAAACATTATATAAAAACAGCAGCAATCATTCTTCTAGGGATTAGGGAAAACACGAGAAAACTAATTAGGCAATATTGTTATAAACTGGTTTATGTGTTGTTTTCTGAGTACTCTGAGGACAAGAGCCATACTATTATCAATTTTATTACATTTCAATGAAATATCTACTATGGTGCCTTTACTGGGGGGTATTGCATTGTGATTATGAAACTGAGGGACAGAAGTTATACAACCACTTAACATCTCAATGTCAGTAAATTAAATAATTTTTAAAAAAGAATCAGAACTTGGCATTTAGTTGTGACTCAGTTAAGTAGCCATTAATGAGATAGGCAGGACAAGTTATTTTCCAACATCCCAGAGAGAAGATAAAGTGACATACTTACTAGAATGAATACTCTTACCATCTATCTGTAATAATTTATCTTTTAAGCAAAACACATTTCAGCCCCGCTTTTGACTGAATTTTAAACCAAAATCAGTATTACAATTTCAACATATCAGAGACACAAGGCAAGTTTTCTTTAAATATATACAACATTTACAAGTCAATAGGAAATGACCAATAATTCAATTAAATAAAAATGGCAAAGAATATGAATGACTTACAAAAAAGGAACTACAAATAGCTCAACTATACGAGAAGCATGATATCATTACTATGGTAGTATAAGAACATTTTTGAGCACTTAATATGAACTAGATACTGCGCTTTACAAATATTAACTCATTTAATTTTCAGTTTGCAGAAATAGGTATCATCACCACCTCCATTTTATAAAATAAAAATCATAGGCAAGTCACACAGAGAGGAAATCACTCAGCTGAGACTTGACCCTCAGCAAACTGGTTCCAGAGTTAGTGCTTACGAGCACTGAGTTATCCTGCCTACGAGCACTGAGTTATCCTGCCTCTTGACCTCACTGAAATTATGTAAATTAAAACTGTGATGATACCATGATCTCCAAGGTGCAGAACAATAACAATATACACTGCTCCTGAAAGAAGGCACAAGAGGTAGGTTACTTCTGGGAAAAGCCACTAGGTAGCTAGGGAAAAGAGGTGAGAATACTGATTTTTAAACCCTTTGTAATCTTCTGAAATAAAAATAACAATAATAATATTTTGTAGGTTCCTATTTACAGCTCTTTAAACATTTGAGACACTTTCAAATAAATTAACACTTCTGTTGCCTCAACCACCCTGTGGGGTAAAGTGAGTGAATATACCCTTAGCAAACGTTATCACATCCACCACTGTGAAGGTAAGTGTTATAAGTATCGTACTTTAAAAAAAAAGAGACAAAAAATTAACCACAGTTCTTTAAGCATTGAAAATCTACTGTAAAATGAAAATACTCCAACAATAAAAATTTTTCTAAAAGCCACTGCCATATGTCTCACCAGAATTCATAAGTTTCCAAAGTTGATCTACCAAGGCTTCATTGCATAAGGGAGACTCCATGTTCTTAGTAAATGGCGGGTTCTTTGTCAACATGTTTAGAATCTTATGCCTGAAAGATAAAAAAAAGAATTAAATTTATGCTGATCATTAAATAAAACCTTTTGAAAATTATCTCTAGTTCCTCTTTCTTATTTTATCATCTTTCTTCTTACATCTAGCTTTGTGTTTAAGTTTAGTTTCATTTCAAAAGACATTATGCTACATCCTAAATATTTGCTATTGTTTTTTTTTTGTGTGTGTGTGTGTGAAGAAGATCAGCCCTGAGCTAACATCCATTGCCAATCCTCCTCTTTTTTGCTGAGGAAGATTGGCCCTGGGCTAACATCCGTGCCCATCTTCCTCACATTATATGGGACGCCGCCACAGCATGGCTTGACAAGTGGTGCGACAGTGCACACCCGGGATCCAAACCTGCAAAACCCCAGGCTGCTGAATGCGCACTTAACCTCTGCGCCACCACCGGCCCCATACTATTGTTTTTTTCCACTAAAAATTCCTGGTGGGTTTGTTCTTCCTAAAATCACCTTAGTATACAATGAGGTCTTCTAAAACCTGACTCTATGTATTCTTAACCAACCATTCTCATCCCACTTCTAAAATAAACAGTTTACTCTCCTTAGAAAAGTTTACAAAAAAGACAAGACTGGTTGGTAAATATAAAAATCTTAAAATGGGGCAAAAAAAAATCACATACAGGCCAAGAAGAAGTCCACATTTGCAATAATAAAATGAATCTAAACTTCATTATTATAGTATCTTCGTAAAGCATGGAAATGTGGAGAAGCATTTTAAATATGGAAATTGCAAAAAAGTTTCCTCAAAATAAGCTGAGGTTTAAGAGAGTCAATTAATAAAAGTATCTTCATAGAGGGTGACAGTTAAACTCCACTATCAAGAGTTTTTATCTCATGAGAGGCTACCTGAACACATTATGGAGTCTTCTGAAAAATAGAGTAACATGATAAAAACAAAATTTGAAAATGTCCAATGCTATGAGCAGGAGACACCATAAAAAGAGGGTAGAGAAAGAAAAGGAGAAGTAAGGAAGCTACGGCAGTAGCCTAGCATTTAGCAAAGGGATAAAAGCCAGGCCTAGGACTAGGTCTGAGAAATTCAAGAGCTCAGCGTAATGGAATGCTTGGATATAACTGAGGAAGAAAGAAACTTAGGTTGTAATTTTTATTGAGGTTAGCAAAACCTTAAAGAAGGTGAACCTGAGAAATTTTTACATTTAAATGTTGGTCATAAGACATCAAATCGGATTTGTACTTGAGAAAGAGATGGGAAGAAAGTGGAACTGCTAGGTTGTAGTTTAAGTCACTTAACCCCTTTTGGCTTCAATTCCACATCTGTAAAACTGAAAGATGTAGATTCTCACATTAACATCCTTTTGTGCTTTGAAATTTTAAGACTATGAAAGACTACTGAAAGGCTATGAGAACGAAAACTGAAATGTGGTTATAGATGCAATTTACAGATAGGTAATATGAAAAAGGATACATATCTTTACGGATATTTCATATCCATATTTTCCTATCTTTATGGATAAACATAATTCCTGTCATTATAGATCTCAAAATCTATTTCTAAGGATAGATCAGTATTACAGGTAAATAACGTCTTTTAAAATGTGGATGAGGGGCCAGCCCCATGTCATAGTGGTTAAGTTCATGCACTCCACTTCGGCAGCCTGAGGTTTGCGGGTTGGGATCCTGGACACAGACCTACACATCGCTCATCAAACCATGCTGTGGCGGCATCCCATATACTAAGTAGAGGAAGACTGGCACAGATGTTAGCTCAGGGACCATCTTCCTCAAGCAAAAAGAGGAAGATTGGCAACAGCTGTTAGCTCAGGGCCACCCTTTCTCACAGACACAAAAAAATAAATAAATAAAATGTTGATAAGTTTTTTCTTTAGAGCTTGTTAATGTTGTTATACTTTTAACTTGCATGATGGAGAAAAGTTTCTATCCAGCTGCTTTCTCAATTACCCCAAATACCAAAGTAGTAGGGCCCAACTAATAACACTTTACGGTATTTATTCAGATGATTACAAACTCTTTACAGCCATGCCAATGAACTGTACATGGTGCTTCAGACATATCTTTGAAATTATCACTAAAAGAGCAATAATGATTAATACATGTATTACTTTTAGCTAATTAAATATTTCTTCAAAAGTTTTGTTTAAAGTTTAGATGATAGAAGAAAGCCTTTTACAAGGAAATATTTATAAAAGACTAAACACTCAAAGCAATACTCAGAGGAGATAAAATTTAAGGGAAGACAATGAAAATCTTATGCTTAATTTTTCAGAGATTAAGCATCAAAATTCACAATAAGTGTATGCTTCACGCATCTGGAATAGACCTGAAGCAAATCCTGAGAATGTCATGGGTTTATGTCATGTTCATAGCAGCAAAAACATCATATTATTTCCCTAAACAATTGAGAATTTTCTTGGTGGGCCAGTCCAATCCTATAGCCAATCACTATCTATAAGAAATGGAGTAAATCAATACCAAAAAAATGTTCAAAATCTCTCAAGAGAAAAAGCATTGGATATAAGGATGTCCCTTAAGGAACCGATACACTGTAATCATATGTATGCTTGATTCCAAAACAAGAAGATAATTCCATTTCATGTTTAAAATACTCCAACCCAATCTAAAACAAATATAACTAATGGTTCTTCTATCGATGTACAAAGTATATACATGCATAGAAATGACGAGAAAGCCATAATGCAAATGTTAAGAATGTTGTTTCTCGTTGAAATATGTTGTTTCTCGTTGAAGTAATTCTATACTATTTCTAAGTTTTCTTAATATGATTTTGTATTTTTCCCAATTTGTATAAGTATTTAAAAAAGTCATTCCCATTGAAAAGAAACTTTATAATTTTCAAAAACGTAAATTTCATTTTAGTTTAAAAACAATGCACCTAGACTTAAATTATTTATTCAAAAACTATACATCTAGATTATTTCTTTATATTATCAGATGTATAAAATTAACAGAGTGTTAGTAATGTGTCAGGTGAATACACAGGTTAACCAAAGTGGATTTACTCCATTTAAATTCTCAAGATATCTTAATGAAGAACTGATTTACAATCTGAAAATTTTCTATTGAGAGAAGACTATACAAGGAAAGGAGACAACCCTATTACCACATTTAAAACATCAAACCAACATAAAAGACTGAGAACTTTCCCAAACATTTTAAAATAAACATCTTAAAAGTTTTTTCCTGCCCGGCCCCACAGCTTAGTGGTTAAGTGCGCGCGCTCCACTACTGGCGGCTCGGGTTTGGATCCCAGGCGCGCACCGACGCACCGTTTCTCCGGCCATGCTGAGGCCGCGTCCCACATACAGCAACTAGAAGGATGTGCAACTATGACATACAACTATCTACTGGGGCTTTGGGGGGGTAAAAAGGAGGAGGATTGGCAATAGATGTTAGCTCAGAGCCTGTCTTCCTCAGCAAAAAAAGAGGAGGATTAGCACGGATGTTAGCTCAGGGCTGATCTTCCTCACAAAAAAAAAAAAAAAGTTTTTTTCTACACAAAGCTGTCAATACAGAGATAAAATCACTTTTCTTTAACATACGAATTAAGCTAAACATATACATGATCAGAAGAAAAAGGAAAAAATTGTATCCAACCACTTGTTTAACATGTATTTAATCAACTACATGCAAGGCGTCATGCTATGTGCAAGACATACAGTGGCAAAAGGAGACATGGTTCCTGTCTTTTTGGAACTTATATTCCCGTGGGGGAAGCAGAGATAATCAAATAATCAAACTACAAAATTAATATTTATATATAGAAAGTATTTATGTACTTGAGTATAGGAAGAACTGTAGGATTTTACGGGTGATTATGACTTGAGGAACATGACCTAGCTAACACAGGGAGTCAAGGAAGCATCCCGTAGAAGTGATGTTCAAGTTTGGTTCTAAAGTGTAATAGAATAATTACAGGTAATTAGATTTTTTTTTTCCTCCGGACTTTAAGCTTTCATCCTAAAATTCTTCAGAGCTTTATCTAACTCTACCAAAATCAGTAATTAGGATATATATAGTAATAAAGACAGAAATGGAAAATAAATACACATTTTTTTAAATTCAATTCTTATTCAAGGCCATTTTACCATTAGGAGTTTAAAAATCAACTAAGGGCCATAAAAATAAAATGCTTGCGTTCGGGGCAGGAGAGAATGGCACTGATTTTGAGAGAGAGACAAATATTTACCTATCTTAAGATTAAGAATTCTATCCAACTAACAGAGCAGATACAGCAATTCTATATGATGGTTACTTAATGAGTTTAAGAAAAAGTAATAAACAGGGCTGGCCCGTGGCGTAGAGGTTAAGCGCGTGCGCTCTGCTGCTTGCTGCCCGGGTTCGGATCTCGGGCGCCCAGCGAGGCACCACTTGTCAGGCCATGCTGTGGCAGTGTCCCATATAAAGGAGAGGAAGATAGGCACAGATGTTAGCCCAGGGCCAGTCTTCCTCAGCAAAAAGAGGAAGGATTGGCATGGATGTTAGCTCAGCGCTGATCTTCCTCACAAAAAAAAAAAGAAAAGAAAAGAAAAAGTAATAGAACAGACTGGTGGTTGCCAGAGGCGATGGGTGGGGGATGGGTGAAATGAGTGAAGGGTGTCAAAGAGTACAAACCTCCAGTTATAAAATATTAAGTCATGGGGATGTAATGTACAGCATGGTGACTACAGTTAATAATACTGTGTTGTATATTTGGAAGTTGCTAAGAGAGTAGGTCTTAAAAGTTCTCATCACAAGAAAAAATAATTTGTAACTATGTATGGTGACAGCTGTTAACTAGACTTATTGTGGCAACCATTTCGCAATGTATACAAATATCAAATCATTATGTTGTACACTGAAACAAAAATAATGCTATATGTCAATAATACTTCAATTAAATAAATAAATAGAGAGATAAAGAAAAGGAAAAAAAAGAAAAAGCAATAAGGGGCACAAAGAGAAAACGACAGAGCTCCTACTCAAAGAATAAAAAATAGAGAAACAAAAACAGAGACAGATATCCCAAGATACCAAAAATACACACATACAATAACTGCTGTGTGATAGCACTTCTATCCTGTGACCACTCACTGCCATTAAAGATTTTTTAAGACATGGTGAATTTTTTTAACTGTGAGTATAACTATGGGCTAGATGACATTAAGCAAAGCCTAAGAGGTTCCCTATTGGTGATAAAAAATGAACAACATCAATTAAGAAGAAAACATGTCAAAAATAATCATGAAATATATCTTTAAATAGATTTCAGTTTAGATTGTAAACAACAGCGCTCTTGAAATCTGAATATTAACAGTTCCACAACAATATCTCAAAAGCAATCATTTACATGGTATAGTACATAATTCAGAAATATAACAACTTCAAGTATTACATACTACTATAATCTGGTAAAAATGGTCTTCAAAACACAATTCCAAGATCTCAGAAATATGCGTCAATGTTAGTTTTGTGGTTGTGAATTAAAAACATAAGTGAATACATGATAAGCAATTTTATTTACACTGTATTTATACTTTCTGTTCCTACTTGCTATCGTAGGATCTTATTATAAACTTCCAAATGCATGAGCTCTGTCAGATAAGAGAAGAGGCTGGTTTCCTGCCTATCCTCTTTCATATGAATATGTCCTTTATAATAGGTGATTATGAGATTTTTGTCCCTATCAATCTTACCCTTAGTGTACATCAATCACAAAGACAAAATATTTAAAATACAATTTAGATCACAAATCAAGAACGATGAAATAGTAACAGCAAAACTTTGTACAAAGAATATTTATATAATAAGCATCGTTTAAAACACTGAAATATAAGGTGACTTAACCAAGAACTCACTGGCAAACTAACCTGAAAAACCACCGTTGGCAAAAGAAAATGTTCTGTTAGGGAACTGAAATCTCTTAGGTAGATTCCTCATGCAGTGAGGCTAGAAGGCAGAGTTTATTTGTATGTCTTTTTAGAGGAAATCAACTATCTACCAACTGACAAGTTGAGCAGGATAATTAATGTCTCTAGGTCTCTGTTCTTGTTTCTAGTTGGAATGGCTATAATCTAAGTTACTTTCCAGCTTTCAAATTTTATTTTATAAAACCATTAATATTAAAACAAATGAACAAAAATTTGAGAGTCTACTACGTGCAAAGAAAGGAAGACAGAAATGGTCAAAAATTTAATCCTACTGGAATACATTATAAACATCTAACTTTGCAAAAGAAAGCAGCAGAAATGAAGGAAGTGAAGACTAGAAAGGGATACAAAAATGAAAATAGTAACTACGTCAGGACTTGGATTTTCTTGTATTTTCTCTTATTCTTCTAAAATTTTAATAATGTTATATTACATTTTTTAATCCCAAGTCTACTTAATAAAAATTGAGATTTTATATAAAAAAGAAAGAAAGAAATGGGATACACCAAAACATTATTCCTAATTACTTTTAAAATAGATTAAATCAATCAATAGAGAGGTTTTATAGTTGTGGATATATAAGGGATCCTCCATGTGCACTACGAACTGTTACATAAGCTTTTCTTTAAGTTACAACAGAAGTTACACATAAAATTTCAGGGCATAAACTTTGTTTATTAACAATATATTTTTTAAAATGTCTTTCCAAAGGGAAATCAAATTAAAAAGGGCACGAATAAATGCATAACGTATTCCTGTATTTTCAAAAATAATAGACTTGTTCCATGCATAATCTTCTGAAATTATTCAATTTACTTTAGAACTTACAAAACAAAATATTATATCACAAAAACTAACCTCACATAGGGTACAGGGTCATTCTGAATCATATTAAGTAGCCACTGCAGTTCTTCATAACTCCTGTCCACTGAAAATAAAAATAAGAAAATGTAGTTAATTATAACAAACTAAATAACAAGTGATAAGCAGGGAGCTTACACTTAATATTTAGGACTCTGCCTTTGCTGGATTTCCAATCACAGTTGAAGACTGTAGGCAACTTCTTACATTTTTTTATACAATAGGCCATTTTGTAAATTTTATAAGTATTGTGCTATATGAAGCCAAAATATAAAACAGGACCAAGTGCATATTTTTCACTAAAGCTCAAATCAATGGCAAATACAACATAAAGCAAATTATAATTTATTAAGAGCTCTAAATTAGAGATGATTAACTCTAAATGGACAAAATGTGTTTAAAATAAAATTGTGTTTCTAGATGCTTAAATCAAATTATTGAGAGGTCTGATATTCAATGATATCTCAACTATATTATACAATGTGGTAAACTGTTTGTGCCCGAGCAATTTCTTTCATCTAAGACTAAAGAGCAGCCTTAACTTTTCAACATAACATAAAACGCAATTACAAAAATAGTGCTATAAATATAACTGACTTCAACAAAATGACTCATTAACTATTTCCATTCACCTTTTCAACAAGTTTCACTTTTCTGATTTGACAAGCTTTATTTTTAGAATTTTATTTCTAATATTTTCAATGTTTTCATTTTCTAATGATCTGGATTCATGGATCACATTTAAACACCTTTCAAATTATACTTATTAATTCAGTGTTCTTTTGGAAATCACAATATTAGCATTCTATTTCATTTCAGGTAGTACTAATTCATGAAATCTTCATATTTATGTGAACATTCATATACCTTGAGAAAGAAGGCTGGGAATACTGGCACATTTGGTGGATCTCTACGCTTACAGATTTCACAAATTGGTAAAATGTCAAAACAAAACTGGAGACTGATATGGGTTTACATTTTTTTTTTCTTGCCAAGAAATTCATTCAAAAAAACAAATCACTATTTTCACCATTATTTCTTAAAAGAAAAAATATTTTATCCCTCGATAAAAAAGAACAAATGGCAGTCTTTTCTGAACTTAGGCCACCATATATAATATACACAGTATACTGTTCTTACTCTTAAATTTCCGACCATAAACAAGTATTTCTACTGAAATTTACAAAAAATTATAAAGATTTAAGTATATTTTCCTCTACTTAACATGTAAAATTAACCAAAAGCTACTAAAGAACTTCTCTCACCCCTTCCTCTCTTTCCAAAGGCAGATGAGAAGTTTAGCATACTTTAACTTCTTCACTCTTTCCATATTTTAGTGCTATCATCTGCAATTTTAGATGTAGATTTACATATTTCCTATATTTGCATATTAAAGAATTATTTTTGAAATTTGCATTAACTTTTACAACCATGTTAACAAATGTTTAAGATTAGCTCTTTATTTTACAGGCATAGTTGCTCATCACTAGGTCTTTCATTTCACACTTTCATCAATCTTGAGTTATTCTGATTCACTTCCAGGTCAACTGAAAAGTATCTTTGGGAATTTTGTTTTTAAGAATGTTACATAGGAGATGTACTTCTAAGTCTTCTAAGCTACATGAGTGACAACCTGGCAGGTCATAATTTTTCCTAAACATTATGTTAGTCACTTGTTCAGTCTTTTGAACTCTTCATATTCTGAAGAAGTCACAGGCTACATTATCCTTTTACCTTGTACAATAACCGAGTTCTGATATTCCTAGGAACCTACACATTTTTTCCTTAACCTTAAAATTTTAAATTTCCTCAGACTCTAGCTTAGGTCAGTTGCATTTACACCCTTTTGAAGTATTCTGTTATTTCTTGGATTATTGCTTTTCTTCCATCTGCTCTATTCTTCATGACTTAATTTTTTTTACATTTGTATCTCTTTATCTTCCCCTTCTGTATTTTTGAGAATCTTTGAGATACATAGTATTCTCTTATTCATTTTTTGGCCTTATGTTTTTTTCAACTTCATGAAGCCTTGCCTAATCCCCCTACTAAAGCTCTTGTTTATGTCTCTTGCTCTACACTTTCACAGATACAAATTTGTGACAGGTGCAAGATGTTTTCCTGAGTCCTTCTTATATAGTTAGAAATTCCCCCAAAATCTTCTTCTATTTCTTAAAATAATATGTAATGATAAGCTGACTTCTTGGAAAGACCAAAAATATCTATAATTTTATTCTCTTCTCTCATTTATTAATTCTTATACAAATTCCACATTTACCAAACATTCTTTCTAAATCAGTGAGTCAAGAATTTAAAATTAAAACACCTGTATTGTACATAATATGAAAACCCCAATAAGAGTGGCTTTAAATAGTAACAACTTCTTTCTAAAATGATATGAGCATATATTTCTAAAGCATTACCTTTAGTATAATCAACAACTGCTTCTAAAGCTGCTATCCTAATGTCCACGAAGTGGCCATATTCTGCATAAGATTTAAAAAGAGCTGGATCACTTGGCACATGTCCATTCTTCTGAAGCACTCGTATGGCTCTCAAACAACTAGGAAAACAGTATTTACAGTTAAATACTTTTGTTAAAGTATTTTGAATCAAACTTGTTCTTTAGGTATTAGAAATTAATCTGTAACAGTAAACTGAAAAATTGATGTGATTTGAATCTACCTTTTAATTTTGTAACATTAAATTTTTGCAATGATTATAAAAATTAAAAATATCTAAATCCTATTAAAAGAAAACAAATTTAAAACTTGTTTGGAAATCCAATTTCAGGTATCATTATACTTAATTATTATTAATATAATTAATATCATTATACTTAAAACAGGAACACACTTCAGAAAAATGTATTAGCCATAAGAAACGATGAAATCCAGCCATTTGTGACAACATGGATGGACATTGAGGGTATTATGCAAAGTGAAATAAGTCAGAGGGAGAAGGTCAAATACCGTATGATTTCCTTCATTAAGTAGTAGATAATAACAACAATAAACAAACACATAGAGACAGAGATTGGATTGGTGGTTACCAGAGGGGAAGGGGGGAGGGAGGAGGGCGAAAGGGATAATTAGGCACATGTGTGTGGTGATGGGTTGTAATTAGTATTTGGGTGGTGATGTAATCCATGCAGAAATAGAAGTATAATGATGTACACCTGAAATTTATACAATGTTATAAACCAATGTTACTGCAATAAACAAAAAACTAAAAAAAATATATATATATATAATTTAAATAAAGTATTTTCTCCAAAGTTTTAGCAATATATATTTTAGTCAATAATATCTATAAAAGGTTAAAACTCTTCCTAATGTTTGAATCAGTGAATCAACTATTTTTAGCAAACTTCTAAAGAAGCAGATAGAACTTTTTGATAGCCATATACCAAGAAGTTGACAGAAGCAAAACGTCATCTTAAAAAAAGCCTAACGAGGGCCAGTCCCGTGGGGGAAGCGGTTAAGTGCGTGCGCTCCACTGCGGCGGCCCGGGGTGTGCAGGTTGGGATCCCGGGTGCACAGCGACGTACTGCTTGGCAAGCCATGCTGTGGCGGCGTCCCACGTGGAGTGGAGGAAGAATGGGCATGGATGTTAGCCCAGAGCCAGTCTTCCTCAGCAAAAAAAGAGGACGATTGGCAGATGTTAGCACAGGGCTGATCTCCTCACCAAAAAAAAAAAAAAAGCCTAACAATAGAGGGATGTTTACACTAAATCCAACGGGATAAAAGATTATGCAAACATCAAAAATAATGCATATGAAGAATTGCTGATGACCATGAGAAAGTGTTTATGATATAAACAGAATACAAAAACTATGTATACAATATATGCCAAGTAATTAAAAATGTATATAGTTACAAGGGAAAAAAATTTAAAAGGCCATTCTCCAAACCAGGAATAATTTATCTGTGATGTTAGGATCATAGATGATTTTAATTTTCTCCTTTTACTTTACTATATTTCCCAAATTTATATAATGAGAATAAATTTCTCTTATAATTATAAAAACAAATAACTTTAAAGAAAATGTAAAGAATCCTCATACCTGACAGTGATAGTGTGTCTATAACTCGGAAGAAGTTTTTCCATATTCAAAAACCTGGTGATTTCTTCAAGAATGAGTCGCACGTCCGGATTTAAATTATCCAAAGTTCGGACTTCATTATTCACACTGACTGCAGGCGTAACAGAGTTGGCAAGGGCATCAATCATTTCTGCACGATAATAGTTATCTGAAAACTAAGTCAAAAAATAATTACAAAAAGATAAAAAAATTCACGCTATTTAAAAATGAATAAAATAAAATATTTATAACTTAAAAACATAATTTATCTGAAAATACAAGCAAGTTCTCTGGTAAGTATTCAACTCTGTCCTTTGAGTAGAGTCACATATTAGAAAAAAGAGTGAAAGAGACTCACTATTTAGTAATACATTAGCTTACTCAATAAATATTTACTACCTGTAAGGCACTCTTATGGTGACCTAGCCAAATTCCTCTAAAAGGAAGACCACAGTCCACAAATCCTGCTGGTAATACAGAGCTTTCAAATTGGCTACTTAGTACTCGATTCTCATATATAAACATACAACCAAGGGTTACCACATATTTGAGGAAAGCATCAACATAAATAAGAGAGACCAGAACAAACAAAGGGAAAAAAGCAACTAAGAGGATATAGAGTATGCAAGGAAAAGAAGAGCAGTAAGGGGAAAAAAAATCCAAAAACTATCATTAATATTGTCTGAGAAATAACCAATGATATGCCTTCCAATAGCTTAACATATAGTAAAAAGAAAGAAATATGCAGCGAATCAAGATCAAAATTAAACTAGAATATAAAATTGAAAAAAAACTCTTGAAATTTTGTGAAAAAGAATAGATAAAAAATAGGAAGAAAAGCACAAGGAAATTGGAGGGCTGGTGCAGAAGACATAACGTAACGAATAACAGGATTTCTAGTAAAAGCAGCAGAGAAAATGGAGGAGGAAATCACCAAAAAAAAAAAAATTAATTCCCAAATCCCTATCCCAGTCAATTCCCAGAGAAGCAATTTATTCAAAGGCAATCTGTGTGTGGCTTGATTTAAACTCAGCAAATCAGATGCTCTGGCCTGGAAATCTGAACATGGAGCAAATGAATGAATTCTATCAGCAGTGCTAGGAGTACGTTGTGGCACTCAAACTGCCAGGCGACACAGGAGGAATGTCTATCCCATTTTGATTTCCATTGTGGAGGCAGAACCACACATTGACACACATAATCACAGAGTCCCTAAACATGCGGATACTGGGCAGGAAAAAAAATAAGGTACACAACAAACAAACAAACAAAACCAAAGAAAAAGTACTCCACAAGTGTTCACTATGGACAAAGTTTTGTTTTCAGACCATTCTAATGACTGAAAAATTAATCTCTGTAACTTCAGTTCCCTAGTCCTAATTCTTCCCTCCGTTATGGTTGTTTTTTTTTTCCCACCATGCTAATTTTATTTTAACGTTGTTGCATTTATCAACCTTTTCTTCTTTGGTATCAGGAATGGTTCAACCCACGTTCTGCATACCTTATTTAACAAGACAGAGAAATTTCATAAACCTATATATGATTTATTAGAAATATACATTAGAAATACACTAGTATGTAAAAAAGATATTCATATAAAATGGCCAGGGCCGGCCCCGTGGCTTAGTGGTTAAGTGCGCGCGCTCCACTACTGGTGGCCCAGGTTCGGACCCCGGGCGTGCACTGACACACCGCTTCTCCGGCCATGCTGAGGCTGCGTCCCACATACAGCAACTAGAAGGATATGCAGCTATGACACACAACTATCTACTGGGGCTTTAGGGGACAAATAAATAAATAAAATTATAAAATGGCCAATAACTAGCCTTAAAAGGGATTAAATTTTAGTCTTCTTGAAAACTAACTCATATAGAATACTGAATTTTATGTTCCTGCCCAATTAATGAGATGTTAAAATTTTTAAAATATTTTCCCCCCAAGTCCCAACTTCTTTTTGGCACTTAATGTTTTATGTTTCTAATTTAATTTTACTTTTAGAATAGCTGTCATTTCTTCTCAATTACTTTAAAAACTTTGTATCTATGCTGTGAATCTTTTTTTTAAATATGCTTAACCAAAGCCCTCAGAGAACAACCATTTGTGGCTGCAAGTGAGGTACTTTAAAAACAAATAGATAAAGCCAACAAATGACATATTTTTAGGCATCCACCCAATCACATCTCTTCTGCAAATTTTAATTCATTAATCTATAAATCTTTAAATGACAACAAAGTCTTTTTCTTCCAACCATACTTTTTAAGAGAGTAAGTTTTGATATCAGACAAATCTGGGTTTGTCTCCTGGCCTTGCCACATATGTGGCCTTGGGTAAATCTGTTATCCTTTACTAGCTTCTATCTCCTCACATGGAAACTAAGATAATAATAGTATCTATCTCAGAGATCTAATGAGGATCATATTAGATTACCCATGTTTTGGCACAGGCCATACAACACATAAAAAATTAGCTATTATTATTATTATTATTACTGTTATTATTTGCATTTATTCTATCCTTTTTTGTGTGTGTGAGAAAGATCAGCCCTGAGCTAACATCCATGCCAATTCTCTCTTTTTTTTTTTTTTTTTTGCTGAGGAAGACTGGCCCTGGGCTAACATCCGTGCCCATCTTTCTCCACTTTATATGGGCCGCCACCACAGCATGGCTAACAAGCGGTGCATGGGTGCGCGTCCGGGATCTGAACTCGGGCTGCCAGCAGCGGAGCACACGCACTTAACCACTACGCCACAGGGCTGGCCCCTATTCTATCCTTAATATCTTCAGAGATTAAGATATATTATAGCCTTAATTTACATCACTAACTATAACAACTGATTAGCCTTCTCGAAATTAAAACAAAAGCATGAGTTTTATATTGTTCCACAAAAACAATGAAGTGTACAATTTAATAATCTATCAGTGAGCACCTCACAAAATCATAAATGATGACATATGATAGCATCATATAAAGCAACAGGGTGTACTAAAAATATCACCACACAGATGGGTGGCAGGAGCTGACTTCTCAATTCCTGATTACATTTCCTGTGTAATTTTAGACTCTCAACCTCTGTGTTTTGCTTTCATTTGTCAAACAAGAGGTAAAAAAACCTTCAACTATGGAATAGGTAAGGTTTAAAGGAATTAAGGTAAGTGAAATCACTTCTCAAAGTAGCAAGTACTATATAGGGGCCAGCACGAGTTAAATTATATATATAGGGGCCACCATGGGTTAAATTATATAACTCTCCAAAACAAGAAAATGGACACAAATAATTGTACAAAATATTTTCCTATTCCATTTGATTATAAGCTGATTTGATACTATCCCAAATCCTAATCTTATATTTTCAAATTTAAAAAATCCATGTCTGGAGGAAGAAAGAAATACTTTAAATGAAAATCAAGGGCCGGCTCCGTGGTGTAGCGGTTAAGTGCACGCGATCTGCTGCTGGCGGTCCGGGTTCAGACCCCGGGCACACACTGACACACCACTTGTCAGGCCATGCTGTGGCGGGGGCAGCGTCCCATATAAAGTGGAGGAAGATGGGCACGGATGTTAGCTCAGGGCCAGTCTTCCTCGGCAAAAAAAAGGAGGAATGGCATGGATGTTAGCTCAGGGCTAATCTTCCTTACAAAAAAAAAAAAAAAAGAAAATCAAAACAAACCAGCAGGCCAGAAAGGAAAGAATCTCACAAAAAAATTTAACAGGATTCAAAATTGGAAAGAAAAAGTATATCAGCTATAATGTATTCTTTTAAAGCACTTATTTTTTAAGGACTCGTTTTAGCTTAAATCATTTGAATGTTATTCTACTCACTTAAAGGAAAGAGGAAAAATCTGTCTTATCGATTTTCATTATAAATCACCATTTTTTAATAAACATACTTGTGACTCTTCTTTTTACTGTTGTAATGTTTTATTAAACTTTTCATGAATTTGACTTACCCTACCAGTTACAAGTGTCTTTATATGTGCTGTTCCTTCTGCCTGGAATAATCTTCCTATATTGGCCCCATTCATAGACTAGGAAAATCCTATTCATCTTTATGACTCAGTTTGAGGGTCACCTCTTATGTACAAAACTTCCCTGAGTCTTACTCTCTGTACCCTTGGAAGTAACTTCTCTGAATTCCCCTAGAAAATTATGTATACATATGTCCACTGTAGTAGTTATGAATGACTGTTAACAGTTTACTTGTCTGATTTCCCCATTTGGTTGAGTCCTTGAGGGCCCAGAATCAGACTGTGATATGCGGCCGTTGTTCAGTACATGTTTAATGAATAAAGGAAATTCCGAATGGCATCTGCCACCTCCTTTTTATTTAATATGGTACACCGCCTAGCACAGCATATATTCTTAAAAACATTTGGTAATTATTAGGATAATGAGTAAGGTGAAATAACTTTAGAAGCACAGCACTCAACAGCTATTTGCTAAATAAATGAATAAACACACATAATGGTAAAAAAGAAAAAAGTCAAATTCATCAATGAACAAGTTATCCCAAGACAGAACTGTTTTCTGGGTATCACCTGGTAAGAGAAAAAAGGAATAAATATAAAATTGGGCTGTGAGGCTTCACCAAAACAAGTTTTAGCTGGCTGCCCAAAATCTGATGCACTACTATCTCCACATTACAACAGGCATGAAGAACATTTAAAAACCAACTAATCTTCATCCACTGGTTATTATAATAAATCACATTTATATGTTTCTATCCCTAGAAATTTCAAGTACCATGGACTCAATAGTGGTTTTACAGTCTAAATATTTCTTTAAAACAAAATATCGCTGCACAGTTTTATAATATTTATTATTCATTAAGGTATCTTACCTTATTTTTTCTGTTGTCATTGTACTTGATTAGGTCTAAAATAAACGTTAAAACTTCTTTGGGACAAAGGTTGTGAACATCTCTCAACAAAGCCATTGCAACTGGCATAGTCTACAAAAAAAAACTTCTTTAAGCATATAACCTAACTTTTTCATTACTATATTTGAAAGGTTTACTCTAGGGCCGACATAGGTATCTGAATGGAGCCTAACCCCCCTAACTCCCACGCTCTCCCACTGGGAACATGTCTCAAACATTCTAACAAAAGAGCTGAGTAGAAAACCAAGGGGATGGCCCCGTGGCTTAGCGGTTAGGTGTGCGCGCTCCGCTGCTGGCAGCCCGGGTTCGGATCCCGGGCGTGCACCGATGCACCGCCTCTCCGGCCATGCTGGGGCCGCGTCCCACATGCAGCGGCTAGAAGGATGTGAAACTGTGATGTACAGCTATCTACTAGGGCTTTGGGGGAAAATAAATAAATAAATAAATAAAATTATAAAAAAAAAAAAAAAAAGAAAAGAAAACCAAGGGGACAGCTGCATAACTGGGTGCATGCTGTAGCCAATGTGCCTTTGTCTTCATTCGTTAAAGCAAAGTGTATGTAATGGAAATTATATAAATTCAGTTCTGTATTTTACAATGGAAAAGGTATGGATTTTAACAACAGATAGACTATTACTCAACTTCTACTCTACTGCCTGCTAAGCTGGATTATTTTAGCTAGTTGCTTACTGAGCAGAAGCCTACTTTCCTCACAACCATTTTTAGGATTAGATGATACAGTCATATGTCATTTAACGACAGGGATACATTCTGAGAAATGTGTCATTAGGCAATTTTGTCGTTGTGCGAACATCACTGAGTGTCCTTCACAAACCTAGATGGTATAGACTACTACACACCTAGGCTATCTGGTACTAATCTTATGGGACCCCATTGTACAGGCAGTCTGTCATTGACCGAAATGTCGTTATGTGGCAAATGACTGTATAGTGGCTGGAGGCAAGTAGCAGATAATAGAATTCAATCATCAATCTGAGAAGACACTGATTCTCCAGTACCACCTCATCCTCAGCCTAAGGAAAAATGGTAAATTATATGAAATCCAGCCTAACCTTCCCCTTTCCAAACTTTCATAGGCAACTTTTCTAAAGCAGTAGAAACCTGACTCATACAGTGGTAACCTCCAGCAGTAAAACAAACCATTTAAACTCAAAGCACAACTACAGATGAATAGACATCATAGTCCCCAGTACACAGGGAGATTTGGACTATCTCCTCTTCTGATTCAAAATAACTATACCCTCTAAACTGGGGGACAATAAAGAGGATGGCTCCTTTGCTTGCTTGAAGGACCGGAAACAATAGGACAATCAGTGTTGATGTTGTAGGAACAACTAAGGGAAAGGCTCTTCTCCACAGAAATATCTGTCCTATGCCTGTTCTGTCCTTTTGGGACTCAAGTTTGATTTAGTCACTCATCTTCTCTCTCTCTCTTCTGCCACTAGTATTATGTGAAAGATGACCTGGCCTAAAAGCACTGATTTTTCAACGTTTTTGACTGCAACCTACAGTAAGAAAAACATTTATATCCCAACCTAACACATACACACACACACACGCTTAAATACAAAGTATACAAACTAAAAAATAAAACCAAAAAAACCTTATACCTACCCTCATTACACATGATGCATTCTGATACTGCCTACTGTTTTCTTTTATTTAAAAAGCAAACAAACAAAAACTTTCAAATTGATTTCATGAGCCCCTCACTAACGGGTGACAACTCCTAATTTGAAAAACATTAATCTAAAGTATATGGAAGCACAATGGCATAATAAAATATTGAGGGGATGTACTGGGTAGACACAGAAATTAACTCACTTCCATACTATAAATTAGTGAAAAGGCAAAAGCTGAGCAACATGTTAAGTATATGTTCAGCTCCTAAAAATAAAATAACACGATGCCACAGACTTCTTCAATTACACCAATATTGCCTTTCCCCAAACTAAATCATCCTGATTTTTTTCTGCTAATGAAATTCACTATAAATATATCACGACTTCCACTCACAGCAGGCGTCTCAATGTTGCTGGGTAATCCTTTTACTTTTCCCTTTATGATATATAAATGTCACCTTGCCTAACATCTCCCTCAGCATCTATCTTTTCACTTGCTTTCAATCTGCTTTCCACTTGTCTCATAAAAAGGAGTGTTCTTATCTTTCTTATCTTTCCTAAAATTAACGTCCCAACTGTGTCCCACCCACTACTAATACCTTCAGAATTTGCTCCATCATATTTTTTTATATTGACTTGCTCCCACTTGAATATTTCATGTCTCCCTCTCCACTGTGCCAAACATGCCTCAAGTTTTTTCTCCCCCTACACAAACCAAACTAACCCAAAATGTCTTTTCTCAACCCTGCTTTATCCTCAACATGTCTCCTTTTTCATACTCTTCAAGACCCAAATCATGACAGAATAGGCTTCGTTAGTTTTCCCTACTTCAACATCACTCCTCATTCTAGTTCAATCTAGTTAATCTAATCTCTGCCTTCATTATTATTAAATTACTTGAAAAATTTACAAATTTACAAATTTCCGAATTGCCCAAACGCTGACTTCTCCGTCATTCCCACATCCTTCCTAAAACGACTCCATCACACCACCGATTTCTAAATTACCATTTATAAAAGACTTATTATGTGATAAATATAGTGTAAAACACTTCACATGCTTGATTTTATTTAATTCCAAAAGAGATAAATTTGACAGTGTGTACACTGAGGTTTAGAGGGTTAAGAAACTTGTCTTCATGAAAACTGCTAGTGAGGAGCAGAGCTGAAACTGAAACTAGAGCTGTATGTTGTATTGTCTCTGACTCAGATATGCTGTCCAGATTTTAGAAAGACTCCCATACTTCCATCCCCTGTGTAACCAACCAGAAAGTCAAACTATCCATTTCTATTTACTTTAGTATTAATGTGGATATGAGTTACCTCCACACAGCTCATAAAATTAATGAACGATCACTTAATTAAAGTTTTGGAAAAAATTTTAGAAGCAAAAAAAGAACAAAGGGAAAACCTTTTATAAGAAAGTAAACATACCTATGATTTGAATAGTCCCCAAGTTAAACTGAGATACACAGATGGCATAAAACAATCATAAGACAATTAGAAAGTAAACTGTACCTTCTGAAGAAAATAACTTTGAAAGCTCATAAAGTTGTTTGTTTTCACAATGTTTGGACAAGTTTTACAACAAAACATTCTAGTAAAGAGTGACTTCATGGCTGGCGGTCCTGTCCACGTGCTCACCATTGAATTTGCAATCTGCAAATAATTAGAAGACAAAGTAATTCCCATTACCACTGCAAACATATTTTAAAATAAATAAAACAGCTTTCTAAAAGTTATCAATACAATTGGTTAGTTTTCAACAATTTCAATTTTCAGAAATTTAATACATTTTGGCCTTGCGTTATCATTTCTAAGAAAATATACAAACTCACATCCCTCAAAAAATTCTTATGTGCACTTATAAATATTTCCTGTAAGTTAATTTCTGAATGGGACTATTCTTTTATGTTTTAAGAAAACATGTTTGCAAAAGGCTTCTATTCTGAATAAGCTTGTCTTTGTCCATTTAGGCAGATGTAATTCTAACATTTAAAATTTATCAGATAGAAACATCACCATGGATTTTAAATAAGGTTTTTCAATCTACCCTAATTGAAAAACAAGCCAAGTACAGTGCTACCATTTAAGTCTCTAAGAATGTTTTACAAAAAAACCTTATCTTGCTATTGATATTTTTAGTGTACATAAAAATCATGTCTGAAAAGAATGAAAAAATTAACTTTAAATAACATAGTCTATAATTTTATGGATCTGCTAAGAATTTAGCATGCAAGAATCACAAAGATCTTTATAGAAGCCACGAAAGTATATCCTTAGCAGATGATTATCAAAGACATTCACGTTTTTCCTCATGAGTCCAATGTAGGAATCTAACAACTCACTAATTACCATCAAAGATAAAACAAACCTAAACCACTATAATCTGCTGAAATGTTGGACAAATGGATTTAGCAGTGAGGAAGGCAAGAGAGTCACTAAATGGGAATGAACCTATTATCAAGATGCTTTTTAAATACCTGGAAACCAGTATTTCTGGCCAAATTTTTGTCTGCGTTTTTCTGGTTTTCATTTGTTCTACCTTCAGTTTTTTTGCATCTAAAGAAAAATATTTAGTTTTCTTAATAAATTAACTTTTCTAGCATGTTAAATTACAGAACCTATCATTTAAATTACATATCAATAAGATCGATTACTAAGCCCAAACCAACATGAAATAATCACCACAGGGGGATAATTAAGATGAAACGCTTTCATTACTATAATGTAAAATATCACCCAAACCAAAGAATTTCTTTCCAAATACATTCTTTGCTTTAAAAATGTGACTGGCAATTCAAGAAAATGGTGAGAAATTCTCTTTGGCTTTAAAATCTCACTTTCCAGTTTGACAATTATAAAATTTTGGTGCATTTCTATGTTCAGACCAAAACATGTTTCTTTCAAGTCAGTCTTGTTAAAAGCATTTGGCAACAGCTTTCTTTTTTTTTTTTTTTTTTTTTTTTCTGCCATCTT